GTGCGCGGCCCGGGAGGGGCTCCACTCCCTCACCCCCCTCCCACCCCCTTTGTGCCGGGAACTAGACCCCCGGGGAAACATTTTTGTGTTCTGCGGACATTCTGCAGGGGTGCGTTGGAGGGAGCTCCCATCCAGCCCGCCTCTACCAAACTCGGCTTTTGGGTCTCCTCTTGTTTCCCCAAATCACACCCCGAACCTGGCCCTGCCAACCTGCCAACTCCGTCTTCCGCCCCTGCAGAAGCCTGGTGGTGGTGGTGGTGGTAGTGGGTGTGTGTGGGGGTGGGGGGTGGGGGATGGGAAGGAGCCCAGTGGTTGGTCCTCACCTGGGTTCATCCCGGTCGGAAGGCCCAGGGTCTGGATTCAAACACTTGAAGCTGGGATCTCAGAACACTGGACAGTGCTGCTGGAATCCTCCCTGGCTGCCATCCGGCTTGCCCATAACCCTGTGTGACCGTGTCTGCCCTCCGCTGTCCTCCCCCATCCCAGTTTTCCTGTAAACAGGGAACATTGCTGACCTCCTTCACCAGGCCGAAAAGACAGATGATCATAAAAACGTTCCCAAATGCAAAATCCTTTGGAAGCGTTGTGCAGGCAAAAGTCTCTGTTTTGGGTCTAAGCTGCTCAGGGTAGGCGCTCAGAATGCCAATACATTATTTCAAACCACTAAGTATTTCGGCTAGCGTACATAATGGCACCAAGGAATGAATGGGCCTCTTTCAAGATCTAATTTACTGCCGCTGAATGTGTTAGCACTGGAGGGACGCAAATAAATGTTCTCTGGAGTCTAGAAAATTGCCTATTCCTAAGAATGAGTGTTAGGGGAGTCTGGCCCATTCGATCTTGAGAAAGTGATGAAAAAGTGTGTGTGAGTGTGTGTGTGACTTTTCAGGCCGAGTATTGGATGTCGAGTAACACTCCCTCCACGTTCTGCGTGGAGTAGGGTTCGGTACCTGAAAGAGGAGCCGCACAGCAAATGAGAGATAAAGACACGAGATAATTTTGCAATATTGGGGGACCAGGCGGGCAAGTCCCGAAGGACTTCCACCCATGCTCAGGCTGCTCCAATCTTTTATTGATCTGGAGTAGCCCTTAGGGTAAGGAAGTTTCAATGACACACAGATCAGCAGACAATTTCCAGGAGTAGACAAAAGTATCTGATTAACTCATCAATAGATTTTCGAGTGTAGGCAGAGTATCTGATTAACAATAATCAACGAGGATCTACATAAGTATCTAAGGAATTAAGGGAACCAAGGTGGGGATGCTTCAACTATTATTACCTAAATTAACTGAGTGGTTCCTAGATTAACTGGGTGGTGCACAGCCCTGACCTTTGCTAGGACTTTCAAGCCCTGACCTTTACTAGGACTTTCAATGGCTACTAGCTTTTGGGGGGGTCTCTGTCTAAACTCAGCTAGTGAAGACAATGAATGGACTCCGGCATCTCCCCCTTATTTTTTCTTTAAAAAATCAAGTATCTGTAATCTAGAAATATAAGAACAAGTCCCAATTTCAATGTCCAACAGTTCTGAGTCCAAGTTTCAATGTCCGACAGTTCATGTGTCCATTGGATGGAGAATGTGTTTTTCAGGAGTAGGCCATGGAAAGCAGTAAGTCCATTTACTTGAAGAGTTCTATTTCAGGCAAAGTGTCAAAATTTATAATAAAAAGGGGGGGGGGGGGTAATCCTGAATTTGAAAGCTGTTTTGATTACATTAAAACCTAAGGAAACGGATCCTGTGGATTCCATTAAGATTCCCGGTGTGTTCTCTTCTCTGGACGTACACGGGGTTTTCCGTGCATGCGCAGGGCTCTGCTGTTGGGCATCCTTGAGTTTTGCCCAAGCTCCTCCATTCACCAGTTATGCAACCTTGAGCATGTTCCTGAACCCCGTGCCTCAGTTTCCCCATCTGTAAAACAGGATATCCTCACAGGATTGTTGGAGAGATAAAATAATTTGTGGAAGGGACTTAGCATAGTACTTGACAAGAAATGCCACGAGTAAAACACACCCTGGAATGTTTTCCCTGTGCATGTGCGAGTGGTAAATATATCCCCCGGCTGGCCAGGGATGTTTCCCAGACTCAGGCCTGTCCTGCTGGGATTTTTCTCACAGGCCCATACACAGCACTGAGTGCAGGTTCAACTCAGCCTGACCCCGCCTGGGCCCGCAGAGGCCTTCCCATTGATCGGCCCTGTAACGGTCAGTGCTCTCCACAGGCCGCGTACTGGGACCTTTAGTGGCTCTCTGCTCGCCTCTGTCTGGGGAAACAGGAAAGAAGTTGCCAACAGAGGTGAGTTCTTAGTCCAAGAAAGAAACTTCACTTTGAAGGAAATGGCTTTCCCTAGGCAAGACAGGAAAGGAAGTGAGATTTCCTGACAAATCCAGGGAAACCAATGCCCAGACTCATAAAAAAAAAAAAAAGGAGGATAATTTTTCATAATGCTGGGCTCATCTCAAATTCAGTAGCTTACATTGCTTAAGAAGGGGGCGGGGGTGGGGGGCCCTAGGAGAGAGCATGGCGGCTCCACACCCTTTCCCCACACCTTGCCCCAGTGCATGTCTGTCCGGCTGTTCCTGAGTTGTATCCTTTTATAATAAACCGGTGATCTAGAACATATGTAAAGGAACAGTCTAGAAGTCCAAGCTTCTAGATTTTCCATTTTCATCCTGGCTCAGCTACTTGAAAGATGGTTCTGAAGAGCCATCATACAGAGATTTCTCTCTCTTTCTCTTTCTCGTGTGTGTGCAGGTGTGCACATATGTACACACGCTGTGAGATGTTGGAACTGAGATCGTAGGATACTGTTAACAAAAGAACCACGCACACTTACTGGAGATAACAAAGCTTGTTTTAACCAGGGTGTTTGTAAATGAAATACCCAATTGCATCATCCCCTTACCTCAGTCACTCACTGGGACATTTTGGCATCCTCCCCAGTTGAGGTCAACTTGGACTGGGGCAGATGTTAGTAGAACGGGGAGACATCTAAGGAATGGTTGCTGGATGTCTCTCCCACAAGAAGCCTCCAAGAATCAGCCTCCGAATGACCTTATTCTGATTCTTTCACCAGGGAGACAAGTGCCTGCCCCTGCTCCCTGCCACCGCCAGCCCAGCCACACTGAGCATGCTCCCAGCAAGAGCACCACTGTGGGATCTACCATAGCAACAGCTGAATAACTGGAGAGATGAACCGGTAGGCAGCTCACTGCTGAGACTCAGCATAGTCAGACCCTGGGGCTCCTCGTTAGCAAAACCCTGTGCCTCTTCTAGACTCATTCCCGTGTTTCCTACTCTGAGGGGCTGTAAGCGATGTCCTCACCTGGCAGAAGGGTTTCCACCGTATCTTGGGGTTGGAAGAAACAGGCAGACCCCCTGCACCATCTTCTCAGTACCGTCCTCCATTCGCATCCTTTTTCTTTTCTATCTCTGGTCTATAGAGAAAGGAGGGGGGAGGGGGGAGACTCTGAAATGACAAGGAAAGAGGGCAGAGGGCAAGTTGTCAGAGACCTGTGTAAATTGGGATTGGGGACCCAAGGAGACGATGCTGATGGTAGTTCGAGTTAACCCAAAAC